TTATATACCTGGAGTAAAAGAGAAAATAAAACTAATAGCACATGCAGATGATATAAATATTTTTATAGTAAACAAATTTAGTCTCGAAAAGACAATGATAAAATTAAAAAATTTCAGTGCATTCACAGGAATGCAAATAAATGAAAATAAATGCAAAATTTTAAACATAGTAGGAAACTTTACAAAAGAAAACATGTCAATTCAAACTGTCCAAACAATAAAAATATTTGGTCTATGGTATGGAAAAGATGCAAAAGAAAGGAACATGTATGAAATGGAATCTAAAATAAAAAAATCAATTGAACAATGGAAAGAACATTGGTTATATCTACCTGAGCGTGCTAAAATTATCAATAAAGCAATTATAGCAAGAATAATATACAATTTGTACATAACAAATCTAAACAAGCAAGATACGAAACAATTAGAAAGTCCCATATATAATTATCTTTGGCAAAGCAACTATGAGCCACTAAGCAGGAAAATAATTAAAAATAATAAAGAAAATGGAGGAATGAACATATGGGATCTAAAACATTTTGAAGAAGCCATCCAGATAGCAACCATTATAAACACCCTTAATCAAAGTAATCACCCTCTATATCATATCTATAATTATATATTAGGGCCGATTTCTAATAAATTCACTGGAATAGAACAAAGAATACCTTTCCTAATCAACAATAATAAAAAATATAAAGGTTGGAGAGAAACACTGAAAAAAATAGCGAAAGAAAACAACAACTTAATAAACAGCCAAACAAAAATAAGGCCTCGATTGATATACGATATTATACATGAGCAAGTGTTGAATAAAAACATGGATAATCCTAATATCAATTGGCCACAGACATGGAGGAATATACATAACCTCCCAAGTGAATGGACGGAAAGTGCATGGCGAATATTAAATAACATCGTTTTAACAAAAGATTTCCTCTACAAATATAGCATTAGTAGAAATTCTAACTGTCCAAGATGTGGACAAACAGAATATATAGAACACCTTTTTTATAGGTGCGATATTGCTAGATCAGTATGGGCATGGGTAGCGAAAACATGGAAAGTGAAAATAACC